GGGGGAGGGGACGCTGCCTGTGAGAGGGAGGGGAGGGGAGGGGTTGGGAAAGGAAATGCTGCTGCAAATCGCAGCAGCTAATGACAGTGATGCTGCTGCCGAACCGCAGCAGCGTGACATCGACGCTGTTGCCGAAGTGCCGCCGTTCGGCAGACGCTTCGGCAGCAGCGTCTCGCAGCAGGGGGATGGGGAGGGAGAGGAGAAGGGAGGCGGCGGGCGGCAGAAGTGAAGGCGACGACGGTGGGGAGAAAAGTTGAGAGAAATGAAATGGAATAGATTGAGTTAGGGTTTGGATAGAGTTTGGGTTTTATTGGTGGGGTAGGTAGTAGGGTGGGTATACATGTTATTTTAATTTTATAATATTATTATTAAGTAAAAATAATAAAACCTGATTTTTGATTAAAAATAGCTTAAACCTGATTTCCATAAATTGAAAACTAAATAGCTGGTTTTATGTAATTATCACTTTAACAACTGCCAACCATTTTGGTTGGAAAAAATCAAGTTGTAGGTCGTCCATGTTGGGTTGATTGACCCGAAAGACATTAAAGTGGGTTGAAGACAAGGATTTGAAGTTGGAATTCAAACTCACAGATTCCCTAAACCTATATTAACTCCTCATAACCTTCATGAACTTGCCTTGGACAAGATGAGAGAGAAGATGGGAAGAAAATGGTAAAAATTCGTATAGAAAATTACACCAAAATTGGAAAGTGCCCAGAATCATATTTCTGGCATGAAAACTCACGAATCTTGACACTTAGATTGTGGATAATAATATCGTTTCATTATGATTGAGATTGGGATCGTATAAGTGCTACAAAATGCAGAATTTGGGACATGAAAAAGCTAGATAATTCAACCATGAAGGTCTTGGGAATTCATCTTTTTAAATAAGGATTCTTGAACTGATGTTTTGTTCAAGCATGCTGTAAAATCTTTCATTGGTATCAGAGATTTAAGGATGAATTCTTTGCATTATCTCATATTTAAATTGTCATTACTAGATTTAATTG